TGTTATAGAAAGGTTTGGATGGATGGAGTGGATAGATAGATAGATAGATAGATAGATAGATAGATAGATAGATAGATAGATAGATAGATAGATAGATGATAGATAGATATGGATGGATGGATGAGTAGGCAGATGTGGATGGATGGATAGAAGAGATAGATGAATGGTGGGAGGGATGTACAGATGGATGGATGGTTGCATGGAGGTAGAGACAGGCAGACGGATGGACAGATAAACAGGTAGATGGACAGAGAAGGGCTTCAGGATGGGCCCGGAGAGAGCAGAAAGAATTGCCCTGAGGCTTCTCATTGACTGGGTCACTCAGAGGGTCTTTCTTACCATCTCTCTCCCCTCCCCCCCTGCCAATAGACCTTCTGCCGCTGGCTGGAGAACTCCCTGAAAGGGTTGCCGAAGGAGACCACGGGGGGAGCCGTTCAGGTGACCCACAAGCAGCTGACGGACTTCCACAAGCAAGTCACCAGGTTAGTGGGCAAGGGGGACCCTTCAGGACTGGTGGGGTGGGCAACCTTGAGAGCTTTCGGATCCCAGGCAGGAAGCCTCCATGTTTCCTCTGCGACCATGTTCTGGGAATCAAAATTTCCAGGTAAAATTTTGGGCCAGTCACCAGGTGACTGGGAGTTCTAGCCGCATCTTAGTAGTGAAAGCCAGCTGGGTGGCTTTGAACCCATCGGCAGGAAGAAGGTGAGTTCTAGACTTTAGCTAGTCCTTGAGTTATGGCCACAAATTGGGATCAAAATTCCCGGGTACAATTTTGGGCCAGTCACCAGGTGACTGGGAGTTCTAGCCCCATCTTAGCTGTAAAAGCCAGCTGGGTGGCTTTGAACCCATCAGCAGGAGAAGGTGAGTTCTAGTCCCGCCTTAACTGTGAAAGCTGGCTGGGGGATCGTGGGCCAGTCCCTCCCCCTCTCTCTCTCAGCCCGTCCCACCTCACAGGGTTGTTGTGAGCCAAAGAAGAGGGGCAAGGAGCATTGTGCGTGCTTCCCATCTGGAGCTATCTGTAGGTGGGATACAAAGACAGAAACAACAATCGGGGGAAATTAAACAGAAAGAAGACACCGAATATATCATCAAACACGGGGCTTATTTTTTGCACCAGAGGGGTGTGGTGGCCTAGAGGTGGCTCTTTATCTCCTCCCAGTCTTGAGAAATGCTTATTATTATGTAAAAAACTGAATTTGAGGATATATGCCACCTATAGTAAAATAGAATAACAGATGGAAATGAAATGATAAGTCGGGTTAAACTTCGAAGGGGCAAAGAGGGTATTGTTTACGTATTCAGAAGAAATCAAGATGGAAAAATATGGAAAGAAAACCACATAAGGTTGAAATCGGAAATGGAAATGGGATGGGAAATGAATTATGCAGACGAGAAGATGTTAAAGGGGAAAGTTCAGGGCTGCCCTTGAAAAGTATTCGGAGACTACAATTGGTCCAGAATGCAGCCGCGCGAGCGATACTGGGTGTACCGAGATACACCCATGTTACACCCATCCTCCCCGAGCTGCACTGGCTCCCCATCGGTCTCCGAACGTGCTTCAAGGTGCTGGTTATCACCTCTAAAGCCCTACATGGCTTAGGACCCGGATATCTACGGGACCGTCTTCTGCCCCATACTTCCCAGCATCCGATAAGATCACACAGGGTGGGCCTTCTCCGGGTGCCGTCGACTAGTCCAGTGTTTCTCAACCTTGGCAATTTGAAGATGTCTGGACTTCAACTCCCAGAATTCCCCAGCCAGCATTCGCTGGCTGGGGAATTCTGGGAGTTGAAGTCCAGACATCTTCAAATTGCCAAGGTTGAGAAACACTGTCCTAACCACTGCTGGGGAATTCTGGGAGTTGAAGTCCAGACATCTTCAAGTTGCCAAGGTTGAGAAACACTGTCCTAACCACTGCTGGGGAATTCTGGGAGTTGAAGTCCAGACATCTTCAAGTTGCCAAGGTTGAGAAACACTGGACTAGACAATGTCATCTGGCGGCCCCTCGGGGGAGGGCCTTCTCTGTAGCTGCCCCGGCCCTATGGAACGATCTACCCCCAGAGATCCGGACCCTCCCCACTCTCGCGGCCTTCCGAAAGTCTACTAAGACCCAGCTAGTCCAGCAGGCCTGGGGCTGTTGACCTCACGAATGAGGTCCAGCCCCCCACTAAGATTGAGTGCATGATGTGTCTTTTTAACTTGCTTTCCCTCTGTAATTTTAATTTTTAGTATTCTTTTAGAGTTGTTTTTTATGTAAGCCGCCCGGAGTCCTTCGGGATTGGGCGGCATATAAATTCATTAAACTTTTTAAAACTTTTTAAGTCCGGGGGAACACTTGGTTTATAAAAGAATTTAAAATTTGTAAGAAAAAATAAAAAAGAAAAAGGTTTTAAAAAGAAGAAGAAAGGAGACCCGTTTCCAAAGCCGTCTTCTGGAAGCTGCCACGTCGGGGTGCAGATTCTGGGGTTCAGTCAGGTTGCTGGCATCCTCTGACCACCACCCCCACTTGTCAGTCTGGTTTTTCCACCCCTGCGTGCACCTGTTCTGCCCCGGAGCCTCACTCTGCCACTCAGAGGTTATTGGCAGCCCCACGCAACCAACTCGGGCAAGCCCATGCCAACGGTCGCTGGGTGGCCGCCTCCTGTTCTCGGGCTCCCCCGAGGCGACGTCAGTACCCGGTGGCCTTCCTCTTTCTCCTGGCACATTTCAGAGACACGTCCCGTCTTGCTCCAACGTGCCAGCCTGTCTCGGGCACTTCAGATGCCTTCAGGCGCCATGGGGCACCTCTGCCGTTTTGCCCCGGGTGTGAGAAGCAGGTCTCCCTGCCTTTGCTCTCTTCAAAGAGGCTCCTGGGGGGCGGTGATCAACTTCTCTCTTCTTCCCTTTGGGGGAGAGCAAAGAAGGGAGGCAGGGACGGCGCCAGACTGAGGCCAGCTCAAGTTTCTAGTCCTCAGTTTAGTCATCCTAGAGCTTGGTCACGTATCCTCATTGGATATGAGATGGGCAACAAGTAAATGGAAGGGAAGGAAGGCAAAAAAGAAGGGAAGAGAGATATAAGAAAAGAGGGAAGGAAGAGAAAGGGAAGAAGAGAGATATAAGAAAAGAAAAAAAGGGAGGGAAGGAAGAGGGGAGTGAGAGGAAGGAAGGGGGGAAGTGAAAGGAAGAGAGATGTAAGAAAAAAAAAGGAAGGAAGGAATGAAAAGGAAGCGAAGGGAAAAGCGATATAAAAGAAGAAACAGGGAGGGAAGGAAGGAGAGGGGGATGAGAGGAAGGAAGGGAAGAGATAGAAGAAAAAAGGGGAGGAAGGGAAAAGAGATAAAAGAAGAAAATAAGAGGGAGAGAGGGAAGGGAGGAGAGGGGAATGAGGAAGGAAGGGAAGAGAGATCGAAGAAAAGAAAAAAAGGGAAGGAAAGAAGAGAAAAGGAAGGGAAAAGAAAAGAGATATAAGAGAAGAAAAGAAAGGGAGGGAGGAAGGAAAGAAGGAAGGACAAAATGGAGAGCGAAAGGAGGGAGGGAGGGAGGTCAAGAAACGGGGAGCAAAGGCAGACTCTGTAGTCCTTGATTCGTTCAGCGACCATTCCAAATTACAACTTCATTGAAAAACGGGACTTGTGACTGGTTCTTGTGGACTTCGACTCCCAGAATTCCCCAGCCAGCATAGCTGGCTGGGGAATTCTGGGAGTCGAAGTCCACAAGTCTTAAAAAGAGGCCCAATGTGGCGAGCCCTTGGTACGTAAACTCTTCTTTTTCTCTTTTTCATAAAACTTTCTTCCCCGCAGTGCTGAGGAGTGCAAACAAGTTTGCTGGGCTTTGAGGGACTTTACCAGGCTCTTCCGGTAGCTGAGGCCTCTTTCGCTCTGCCTGTCCCAGGTGAGTAGCTACTCAGCCCCCCCCCCTTTTCCCCCCTACTTTTAAAAAAAGGGTGCAAAGGATTAAGAGGTTTCCTCCCCCCGAGAGGGTGCGCCCCCAAAAGCCTTTCCCGCTCCGAGAAGTTGCTCTTTAGTTATATCAGTGTTTCCCAAACTTGGGAATCGTATTCATTATCTAATCTGTTCTTAGATTAATTTCCAATACCTTAAATGTCTTATACTATAACAGTCCTCATCATGATTTACCGTATTTTTGGGACTATAAGACGCACTTTTTTGTCAAAAGGGAATGAAAATGGCTGTGCGTCTTACAGACAGAATATTGCCAAAGCTCCGCCCACCCGGCGCCAATTTTTGTGCCTCTGCATGCGCCTTTTCCAGGCCTTTTTCCACCACTTTACAGGCCTTTTTTCGGCCTTTTTTGAGGCCATTTTTCAGGCCTTTTCCCACCTATTTTCAGGTGTTTTTTTCAGGCCTTTTTCAGGCCCCTTTCCACCTATTTTCAGGCCATTTTTCAGGCCTTTTTCCACCCGTTTTCACGCCCTTTTTCAGGTCTTTTTTCGGCCATTCCTTTTAAAGGCCTTTTTCCAGGCCTTTTTCCACCTGTTTTCAGGCCTTTTTGATGCCATTTTTGAGGCCTTTTTTCAGGCCTTTTTCCACCCGTTTTCACGCCCTTTTTCAGGTCTTTTTTCGGCCATTCCTTT